TATCTATGTCTCTACCTATGTCTTTACCTATGCCTTCACCTATGACTTTACCTATGTCTTTACCTATGTCTTTACCTATGTCTTTACCTATGTCTCTACCTATGTCTTTACCTAAACTATCGCTATGTCTTTACCTAAACTATAGCTATGTCATAAAATTCTTTAAAGGAAATAGATTTTCCTTAAATAATAATATTTTGATTGTTCCAAATAATCACGTATACGATTTTATAATGATTTTGGTGGGGTTTATGTGGATTTACGATCATGCATGAAGGTCAGACTCGTAAAAGTGTGGCACGTTTATCGGTAACATTAACCTAATCAAATTACACTGGAACAACAAAATTAAGATACCAATCAATAACTTGTCTCCATGGATTTTTTTTTCAACCCAATTTACTTTTGCTCCCAACATACATGCTCAGTAAATCCGGCATAGACAACCCCCCTTGTTTTAAACATATTACCAGTCACAGTAATAACACCACTTGCTGAAGTTAGGAGTTAGAATCTCGTGTTTCGTAATTGTTTCTTTATATGCCTGTAACTTTGATCGAATATTTGTTCTAGATTCACAGAAATCCATGTGCCAGTAACCCTTGTAATAACAATGGTTGGTGCGTTACAGTGAATGAAGACCAGTACAAATGTATTTGCAAAGTTGGAAGTGGATACACTGGAAGGAATTGTGATGTTTCAGATCCAGGTACGTATGAGTAAATGATGAGTAAATTGGAATATTTGAAATGACGGAATGACCATACACTGAATGGTATGAGGTAAATATACCAATGGCCATTCACTCATTAATATCTGGGATGACGTAATGACTATTCACCCATTTGTAAGTGGGGTGCCGTAATGACAATGTATTCTTTTGTGTTTCGGATGCCGTAGTAAATCTGTACTATCGTTTTGTTTTCAATATTCTAACGTCTATCAATCAAACACGCTTGTTTTGACACTTTAGTGTCAAAAGTATTCATCTCTTCATACAGATTGAATAATCAAATTATCGGGTGGACACCGAAAGGTTAATTGTGATAGCTACGAAAACTAAATGCTGTGATCACTGAATAAACGAACATTCATATTTTATTCAGTTACCACAGATGTGTGGGCGGATTGGTCATCATGGTCCGACTGTGGCACTACCTCGGGGACTGGTTATCGAGAAAGACGTAGATATTGTATTCATGAACCGAACAATACAACTTTTAAGCAGCGATATTGTATTGGCCAGGCAGTACAATTTATTAGATGCCATGTAGTTATTGAAGGTAGACATTTTCATTCATATAATTCTCTTAGTAATAAAGGGTACATATTAAATTTTTATTACTTGTATTTGAAATTTTCCAACTGTTAAAATAACTAATTAAGTTAAAGAACTAGCTTGTCTAGGGCTGTCTAAGAAACACATGCATTTTAAATATAATGCGATTATACTATTATAATTTTTATATTGTGGATTGTGATATTAGTAATATTTGATACTGTTTTAAATAATGTTACAATAATAGTTGTTTTAGTTATGATATCGTTTGCAAATAATAGTGGGCTGTTTATGTGTCTATGCTATTCCCCATTTTTGAAGGAAATGTACACAAGTTTCTGTGTGGATATATTGGATTCAAATTATAACGCTATATTTACCAGAAATTAAAATATTCTACCACTGCCCTACAAAATGTCAGACATAATGTGATTACATTAATTATGTAATTGTCCATCTACTTGTGGGTTTACTCTTTCTTTATAATTACTCCTAGTACGGATATATGTGTATATGACTTGACTTGCGTTCATATTCACAGATAAGAGTTATGGTAATTCGGGAGTT